CGGAAAAGAAGCCCAAAGAGGGTGAAATTGGGGGAAGAGACGACGGAAGTTTATCATCGAGGAACAATTGGCACGCGAATTTGCAGACTGATGAAGCACCTGGTCCAGACGGGCATGAAACCAACGAGCTTCAACTCAATGTTTGCCGACGACCATGACCTGAGCGACAAGGAGCGAGAGGCAATCAGAAGAAGGAGTTAGAGTTCATCCAAGATCACCTGAGAGAGGCACCTGAGAGCCGGAGTAATTCAAGCTCCAAAATTTTGAAAAGGAACCGGGGTAAAACCTCCGGTAGTACCAGCCTTCCAACGACAGATCCTATTTAGTGCACAATGCATTCGGGAAGCAGGTACGTCCTTCGACGGGCTAGTGATCGAAACATAATTCGGGGAACCAGGCTAGTCCGTCGACTAACATGGGGAACTGGGTAGTATTAGATTGGTGGATGTGTTTGGGGAAGGCAGAAGGTACCAATCATGACTAACTAAAATAGGGCATCTAAATCCTGGCATTTGCTCTCCTGCGCCCAATTTCAAGCATTCATCGGGCCTGGGGGGTGTGAATGCAATGCAGGCCAGGTGAGCCCTAAGCATGTATATGTACAGATCGGTAATATCAGCCAGCAGCAAGGTTGCGCCATTTTCCACCTGCTGCTTGGCTCAAGGACCCGATCGCCGCTCAAGGAAAATGGAGCTTGCCGCAGCGGGCAATTGAGTTTTTGGCGGAACCTTGCAAACTACAGTTCTACTACGAAAGGTCACGGAGTACTTACACACCTGCGCCCATTCTCAATTTGACACAGGCTGCACACGAGCCCTCGCCTTAGCTGTTTGGTTTCGATGAAGATCAAAAGAGTTGACCTCGGATTTCTACAATCCAAGGCCTCCACTACCTCCACCGCCTCCACCACTACCTCCTGGTGCAGCGACCTCAGGCTATGTTTTTTTCTCAATTTTTTCAAATAGTGAGCTGAACGGCTTCGAGGATTCTTATTCAGTAAAGTCAATAAAGTTGTAGATGCAAATGCACAGAAGAAATTAATGCAGTTGCCATGAGGTCGAAAGCATTTGGCTTCCATGTCAGTGCAGAGTTGCCTGGTGGAAAAAGAGGTTCAACCAACTCCAATCATTTCATTCTTGGACTCAGAGGTTGGACATTGCTATTTTGCTGGTCAAAGAAAACACAATTTTCCCGAGACCATTCTTGAAATGCTCGCAGCGGGACAGATGGTAGAAACTATCCCCACAGAGCAGCAAGGGTTCGTTGCATTTGTGCAGTGATTTGCATGTTTTTCTTGCCAAAATCCTCACAGTCAAATGAAATGCACTTCGTACTTGTCACTTGTCAGCCAACCCTGAGATCAACACCTATAGATCCTATAGGATTTGATGTAAGCCTTAGATGCCTTCAATAGCACAAGCCATGTGCTGACAGACGGCTCATGCCACGGCTTCGATGGCTTGAATGCCAAGCGAGCTTGCAAGTGCACCATGTCAATGATACAGAGGTGGGATTATTCTGTCCATGTTTCCAGGAAGGCGTAGAGGGTTATTCTGTGTGAATCAAACTGGACGGTTCTGCTTTATTCTGTTTTCAATTCGACATTCTCCTCTTCTCCCATTGTTTCTGGGCATGGTTTCAAAACCTGACTCTGAAGGCGCGCCACTTATGTTCTTTGCACTCGCAAGAGCACTCAGCCTTCATAGATGCAACTCCTCTTCCAGACACCAGTGTCTTGGCAGCTTTGAGCCTGAAGGCTGCCAGCCTTGTAAACTGCAGATTGAGGGAAATAGATAGTAGGTGATGGTAGTCAAAAGATGTCAAAAGAATAATGTAGAATCATGTAGAATCTAAATTTTGCATGATCTAGTTGTACATTTTCCCCATTTTGAACAGTTTTCCTTGCTGGGCTCTATTTGGATCAGGTCTGCAGGTCTCTCGGAGAGCAATATCTCAAGACTTCTTGGACGGATCCGGACAGCTTTCAGCGAGCATTCCGACAGCTTTCGATGACAGCTGGCTCACCTGGGCGAAGTCCAATCCTCTTTTGGTTTTGGGCATGATAACTCCAGTATTTTCAATTGCAGCTGCAGCCTTGACAGGATTCTTGGATCTCTTGGAGCAGACGTGTGCATGTGTGTGGTAGTTTTGGAGACAAGCTCTGCAGCAAGCTTCGATTTAAATGCTTCTGTTTTTTTCCCCCAAACAGGCTTACCTGTATGGGGTTCTTACTCCTTTCAAAGGGTTGCATCCTTGGGCCGCATGATTTTACCTCTGTCTCCGGGCTTGCATCCCACTCTGGGTGCCTTGGGCCGCATGAGTTTACACTTGTCTCCCCCTTGTCTCCCACTCTGCGTGCCTTGGGCCGCATGAGTTTACACTTGTCCCCCCCTTGTCTCCCACTCTGGGTTCCTTGGGCCGCATGAGTTTACACTTGTCTCCCCCTTGTCTCCCACTCTGGGTGCCTTGGGCCGCATGAATTTACACTTGTCTCCCCCTTGTCTCCCACTCTGCGTGCCTTAGGCCGCATGAATTTACACTTATCTCCACCTTGTTTCCACTCTAGGTGCCTTGGGCCGCATGAGTTTACGCTTGTTATCCCCTTGTCTCCCACTCTGGGTGCCTTGGGCCGCATGAGTTTACACTTGTCTCCCCCTTGTCTCCCACTCTGGGTGCCTTGGGCCGCATGAATTTACACTTGTCTTCCCACTTGTCCCCCACTTGTCTCCCACACTTGTCTCCCACTCTGGGTGCCTTGGACCGCATGAGTTTACACTTGTCTCCCCCTTGTCTCCCACTCTGGGTTCCTTGGGCCGCATGAGTTTACACTTGTCTCCCCCTTGTCTCCCACTCTGGGTGCCTTGGGCCGCATGAATTTACACTTGTCTCCCACTTGTCTCCCACACTTGTCTCCCACACTTGTCTCCCAATTTGGGTTTCTTGGGCCGCATGAGTTTACACTTGTCTCCCCCTTGTCTCCCACTCTGGGTGCCTTGGGCCGCATGAGTTTACACTTGTCTCCCCCTTGTCTCCCACTCTGGGTGCCTTGGGCCGCATGAGTTTACGCTTATCTCCCCCTTGTCTCCCACTCTGGGTGCCTTGGGCCGCATGAGCTTACACTTGTCTCCCCCTTGTTTCCCACTCTGGGTGCCTTGTACGCTTGTCTCCCCATTGTCTCCCACTCTGGGTGCCTTGGGCCGCATGAGTTTACACTTGTCTCCCCCTTGTCTCCCATTCTGGGTGCCTTGGGCCGCATGAGTTTACACTTAACCCCCCCTTGTCTCCCACTCTGGGTTCCTTGGGCCGCATGAGTTTACACTTGTCTCCCACTTGTCTCCCACACTTTGTCTCCCACTCTGGGTTCCTTGGGAGTTTACACTTGTCTCCCCCATGTCTCCCACTCTGGGTTCCTTGGGCCGCATGAGTTTACACTTGTCTCCCTTGTCTCCCACTCTGGGTGCCTTGGGCCGCATGAATCTATACTTGTCTCCCACTTGTCTCCCACACCTGTCTCCCACACTTGTCTCCCACTCTGGGTGCCTTGGACCGCATGAGTTTACACTTGTCTCCCCCTTGTCTCCCACTCTGGGTGCCTTGGGCCGCATGAGTTTACACTTGTCCCCCCCTTGTCTCCACTCTGGGTGCCTTGGGCCGCATGAGTTTACACTTGTCTCCCACATTTGTCTCCCACCCTTGTCTCCCACTCTGGGTTCCTTGGGCCGCATGAGTTTACAGTTGTCCGCCCCTTGTCTCCCACACTTGTCTCTCACTCTGGGTGCCTTTGGTCGCATGAGTTTACACTTGTCTTCCCACTTGTCTCCTACACTTGTCTCCCACACTTCTCTCCCACTCTGGATTTCTTGGGCTGCATGAGCTTACACTTGTCTCCCCCTTGTCTCCCACTCTGGGTTCCTTGGGCCGCATGAGTTTACACTTGTCTCCCCCTTGTCTCCCACTCTGGGTGCCTTGGGCCGCATGAATTTACACTTGTCTCCCACTTGTCTCCCACACTTGTCTCCCACACTTGTCTCCCAATTTGGGTTCCTTGGGCCGCATGAGTTTACACTTGTTTCCCCCTTGTCTCCCACTCTGGGTGCCTTGGGCCGCATGAGTTTACACTTGTCTCCCCCTTGTCTCCCACTCTGGGTGTTGGGCCGCATGAGTTTACACTTGTCTCCCCCTTGTCTCCCACACTTGTCTCTCACTCTGGGTGCCTTGGGCCGCATGAGTTTACACTTGTCTCCCACTTGTCTCCCACACTTGTCTCCCACACTTGTCTCCCAATCAGGGGCCGCATGAGTTTACAGTTGTCTCCCCACTTGGGCTGCATGTGTTTACACTTGTCTCCCACTTCGCTCCCACACTTCTCTCGCACACTTGTCTCCCACTCTGGGTTCCTTGGGCCGCATGAGTTTACACTTGTCTCCCCCTTGTCTCCCACTCTGGGTGCCTTGGGCCGCATGAGTTTACACTTGTCTCCCCTTGTCTCCCACTCTGGGTGCCTTGGGCCACATGAGTTTACACTTGCCTCCCCCTTGTCTTCCACTCTGGGTGCCTTGGGCCGCACGAGTTTACACGTGTCTCCCCCTTATCTCCCACTCTGGGTGCCTTGGGCCGCATGAGTTTACACTTGTCTCCCACTTGTCTCCCACATTTGTCTCCCACACTTGTCTCCCACTCTGGGTTCCTTGGGCCGCATGAGTTTACAGTTGTCCGCCCCTTGTCTCCCACACTTGTCTCTCACTCTGGGTGCCTTTGGTCGCATGAGTTTACACTTGTCTTCCCACTTGTCCCCCACTTGTCTCCTACACTTGTCTCCCACACTTCTCTCCCACTCTGGATTTCTTGGGCTGCATGAGCTTACACTTGTCCCCCCCTTGTCTCCCACTCTGGGTTCCTTGGGCCGCATGAGTTTACACTTGTCTCCCCCTTGTCTCCCACTCTGGGTGCCTTAGGTCGCCTGCATTTACACTTGTCTCCCACTTGTCACCCACACTTGTCTCCCATACTTCTCTCCCACACTTGTCTCCCACTCTGGGTTCCTTGGGCCGCATGAGTTTACACTTGTCTCCCCCTTGTCTCCCACTCTGGGTGCCTTGGGCCGCATGAGTTTACACTTGTCTCCCCCTTGTCTCCCACTCTGGGTTCCTTGTGCCGCATGAGTTTACACTTGTCTCCCCCTTGTCTCCCACACTTGTCTCTCACTCTGGGTGCCTTGGGCCGCATGAGTTTACACTTGTCTCCCACACTTGTCTCCCCACTTGGGCTGCATGAGTTTACACTTGTCTCCCACTTGTCTCCCACACTTGTCTCGCACACTGGGTTCCTTGGGCCGCATGAATTTACACTTGTCTCCTCCTTGTCTCCCACTCTGGGTTCCTTGGGCCGCATGAGTTTACACTTGTCTCCCCCTTGTCTCCCATCTGGGTGCCTTGGGCCGCATGAGTTTACACTTGTCTCCCCCTTGTCTCCCACTCTGGGTGCCTTGGGCCGCATGAATTTACACTTGTCTCCCACTTTGGGTGCCTTGGGCCGCATGAGTTTACACTTGTCCCCCACTTGTCTCCCACACTTGTCTCCCACTCTGGGTTCCTTGGGCCGCATGAATTTACACTTGTCTCCCCCTTGTCTCCCACTCTGGGTGCCTTGGGCCGCATGAATTTACACTTGTCTCCCACTTGTCTCCCACACTTGTCTCCCACACTTGTCTCCCAATTTGGGTTCCTTGGGCCGCATGAGTTTACACTTGTCTCCCCCTTGTCTCCCACTCTGGGTGCCTTGGGCCGCATGAATTTACACTTGTCTCCCACATGTCTCCCACTTGTCGCCCACTTGTCTCCCACACTTGTCTCCCACACTTGTCTCCCACTCTGGGTTCCTTGGGCCGCATGGGTTTACACTTGTCTCCCCCTTGTCTCCCCCTTGTCTCCCACTCTGGGTGCCTTGGGCCGCATGAGTTTACACTTGTCTCCCACTTGTCTCCCACACATTGTCTCCCACACTTGTCTCCCACGCTTGTCTCCCACTCTGGGTTCCTTGGGAGTTTACACTTGTCTCCCCCATGTCTCCCACTCTGGGTTCCTTGGGCCGCATGAGTTTAC